TTCATTATCATTTTTAAAATGAAAATTTAAGTAAAGTGAAACATCTTTTTGAGAACGGTGTGGTGTTTATATATTTTTTTTTAGATTTTAATATGAATTTCAATGTTAAGAGCTGAGCAGCACAAGAAAAAAATCTGGATTATAAAAAATGTATCTCAGATAGATATCAAAGTTTCTTAATAAAAATTTAAAGACAGATACAAGTAGAAGGAAATTACTATAGAATATCATTACCAATTTTAATTAATATTTTTATATTTGTAGGATGATTTACACTCATGGAAGTGAAGAAGGTAGTAATATTTAAATTATGAAAATAAGTTCCTAAATATTATAAGCTGCCCAAGATTGTATATACAAAAGATTTTAAGAAAATAATTATGTTCTTCACAAATAAATAATAAAAACTGTATTTTATAAACTATTCTAGTTTAATTGGTAATGATAAATCATCTGTATCTAAGATTCATTTTTTCACAACAAATCTGTATCTAGATTATTTTTCTGGAGGGCCTGCCCAACTCTGTTTGTATTGTAGATACAAGTTTTCAATACTGCTCAACTCTGTTTGACTTATAATGTACTACCTTTTGCAAAATAACACAAAAAAATGATTAACTTTAAAATTATAACTAAATATCGTACATTGCAAAATTTTAATAACTCAAAATGAAAATAGTATAATTTACAAATAAAAAAAATGGAATTAAAATAAATACTATACCATCATTTGATGATTTTCCAGCCAAATCAACTGATAGCTCACATGCTTTTGTAACACATAATGTTTCTATTTTTAATTAAAAAATATTAGAAATTATAAATAATTTAGAATATATACCATCATTTGATGATTTTGTAGCTAACTCATCATTGGTTTTCCCATGGAGTGGTAATGGTATGTCTGGTCTTTCTAATTGCAAGATTTAAATAAAAGATATTATAAATAATACCATTACCTTCGTCCTCTGAGGATACAACGAAAACCAACTCAACTGATGGCTGATTTTTACTAGCAAGAGCAACATCTATATCTATATATATTTCTAATTCAAATTACACAACTTAAATTTTTATATACCTTTTTCTTTTTGTTGTTGACGAAAAAACTTACGGATATCCATATTTAAAAATTGTAAAAAATTAAAATTTACAAACTATCTATATAGTTTAAAAATATATATTTAATAATTAAATTTATAAATATCTAATTTAACTATGCCAAGCCAGAAAATTTTTTAGATAATAAATTCAATTACAACCTCCATTATTTACAATGAATTAATTATTATGACATTATGAGCTTGCTGAATTATCTAAACCTTTTAAATTACATCTAAAAGGATAGTTTATTTGGAAAACAATGTGTATGATTGTTTGCAATATATAGATTTGGTCGATGAATTGTATTATAATAATACTATAATAAAAGTATTAATTTAAACAGCAATAAATTTTGTCCTATTTCATCTCAAAATTTAATAGATAACCCCCCAAAAAATTTATCCTACCCCCATTAAAGCAGCTTACCCCCTACCCCCTCAAAAAAATAGGATGCAAACTGTTCCTACCCCTCCCGCTCATGTAGACGCTGATTAATAGCTCAATTTAAGGTTAAAGAGATATGGGTTAGAGTTAATTAAAGGTTTGAAAGATATGGGGTTAGTGTTAAGATAAATTAAATGTATTTTTTTAAATAAAATTAATCTTTTATTAATAATTTTCCAAAAAATCTGACAGCCCCCCCACTCCCCCCTACCCCTCCCCCCCCCCCCCAAACAACTTTGAAACTGCCCCCCCCTTCTTTGTTTTATTAATTGTTTTGGTACCTGAATATTTCTTATATTTTTTTGATAAATATTTTAATAATATGTAATGGGAGATAAATAGTTTAAATAAACTTTTAGATTCATTATAAAATTTTCTTTAGATTTCAAGCCCATTCATAATATTTATATTCCCTAAACTTAACACTGTACACCCATGGATGGTTATTCGATTTATTTTGCTAAACGTAAGTCTTTAAACCTTATTTTAAAATATTATCCTAACATTATGTTATTATATTCATTCTAGGTGAGTTTTACATTATTCATTCATACTTATTTTGGGCTTCTCTCAATACTAATTTAAATAAAATTAATATAGCCAATATTACCCTTCCATAATCAAATTTTATTTTAATCGGGCATGGGCTTTTTACCTCTCCTTTTATTTTCCCATGGGCGTTTAAGTAAGAGGTTTGTCTGCGCGCACAGGTAACTGCGGCGTGTCCAAAAAACGTGGATGGTTCTCTTAATTATTTAATTATTTCCAATCTTTTATCCCAGTTAGATGGGTTTTTTCATGTGAGAACCAAGCGTTGTTCTGTTGTATATATATATATTTGATATATCTGACATTTTAGGGCTAGTGCGCTTAATATCACGTATCACGCAAATAAAATATTTATTCATACCTGCTAAAATGCTTAAAATCGCCAACGCACCTCATATTGTAAGGGGGGAGAATATGTAAATGTAGCTAATTTGGTGGAAGAATGGAAATTTTCAAGATGTCAAGATTCAGAATATAGAAAATGAGGGCTGCAAAAACAAAATGGATAAGTTAGATTTCTAGGTTATTCTTAATGCAAATATTTTATAACGGATTTAAGTCATTCAGGTCGATTTAAAAAAAACAGCCCGATCAAAATTATAGCCAAAATAATATTATGTAACTCTGGAGAATTTGATCAAAGATGGCAGTAAAGTTTGGACATCCATTTGCCAATGACGAGGCTTACATAATATTATTTTGGCTAAAATCTTAATCGGATCGTTTTTTAAAATCGACCCAAATCGTTTTCAATAACAATCCCAACATCACTCAAACAGATTGTTACTAATATTGAGAGAAGATTTTGGTTTTATAAATACGTACAGGTTGAATAATTAATTGAAGCTGATGCAGTTTTTTGCTCTCCTTGCAAGATCTATAACTTAAAGAATAGTGAATCAAATCTTTACCAAGACTGGTTTCACAACTGGAAAAAATTTCTTGTATACAGGGGCCTTGAGAACGCCATTCCACGTCAATTCGATCAAGATTCGGCTGACCCCTTTTAAAATTGTTATAAATATCTGGAACTATTTAGATAAGTAAAAGGTGAGAAAGCTGTTTTACTTTAGCTCGCTAGCACAACTGGTTCTTGAGATATAGGGGCTCAAAGGTACAAAAAAGAGCCACTTTGGAATCTGTAGAATTTTTAAAATGCTTATATCTCAAAAACTATTTATAGTAAAAATATTATAATATATCATTTTGTAGGTAATAAATTTCTCTAATGGGCTAACAAAGAATAATAAATATTGGTGCCATTGGCTTACGCTTTTAAAATCTGGTTTACCTAAATTGCTTTACATGTATTTTTAGGCAAAATAGTGAGTGTTTTCGAATTTTTTTTATTGCTTTTTATTTAAACACCTTTGCTAAATATATATACAATATCAAAACTTTGGCGACACTATCGACTCCAAAAATTGATAAAAAAATAGATGGCGCTTTATGAAATTACGGATCATGGTTAAAATTTTGCTGCTAACTTATCAATAACCAGATATTTTCCCTTTTTATACTAAAAAATTTTGATTTTCTATTATATATATTAATTAACTGAGGAGCAGAGTGGGCATAGGCCTATTAGACACTTAATGCCGAATACACAGAAGAAGAGGATCATAAGACTAAAAGATTTTTCCATTTTATTTGTAAATCAAGATAGCCATTTTAATTTTCTAGACATAAAAAAATTAAAGCCTTTATTGGCAACCAATATTACTGAAGAGGGATTAGTAATTGAAATTGAGATTGTCATAAGTTTAGAAAATTATAAAGATTGTTACATCAGATTGTCAGATTTCTATACCCATACAAAAATGCCTTTCCAAATGTTTTTCAAATATTCTAAATCAATTTAGATCTTCCACATCTAATTGTGAGTTAACCTTAGAGAGAATTATTAAATCAGATAAATGTTCGAGTAGTGATGTAAGAAAGGGTAGTTTGGTTTTATTAGGACAAGGAAAAAACATAACCTATTAATTTTAGAAATGTTTCCAAGGTATTTAAAAATACATCTCAACCAAAATTTGCTTTATTTTTTGTTAGTTCCTGCTCAATCACCAACATAATACCAATTGTAATATAGTTATAAATATTTTCTAAATTACGTATATTTTATACTTGAATCCCTAACAAGTATTATACAAACACAATTAAACTATATCAACGTTATTATATAATATTTGTAAAATCATTAAATGAACTTATTTCATTCCAGCTATAAATCAATTCTAATCTTCCATCTAATTTTATAATCATATTTGATCATTGTATATTTTTGTATGTGGTATTTTTCAAATAAAATAGTATATTTCAATTTTGTGCCCAAACAACTTAAATGCATAAAGCCCATTTTCGTATATGGTAGTGGTTTATTTCTATAAAATCTTGATTATTCTCATTAATTTCTGCTTTCAATTTAAAAGTGCACCAAAATATTTTAAAAAAATATGAATAATTTTACTTATTTTTTAGTAAATGTTAGTTTAGTACATTAAAATTTAATTTTTTTAAAATTAAATTTGTTATAAAATTATAAAAATATTTTGCCTTATCAGCTCTTTTCCGAATTAACATTTCTTAAACTATAAGGAATAATATCCTGGGCAGACGTTCGACCTTCCCTATCCCTACAGGTTTTCACCTTTTTTGGTTTTAAGCTTTAAAGCCTTTTTATAATTCCTAAAAATAATACCTTATAATTATTTGCTATTTTAGCCTTAATAGATTAATGTTTTTTTATTCAAAAGCAGATTCACTTATTATTTTTGTCGATCGTTACACCATTTGATTGTTCTCAATATTCATAAGTTATTACTTTATCTTATAGAAATAAAATGAATATTCATAGAAGATATATTTGAACCTAGCATCAATATAACATTTAATTTATCAATATTCTATAAATAAGAATAGTTAACAAATTTATGAAAATTTTATCTTGGAATCAAATATTAAAAATAAGTGTAAGTAAAAAAAAATGAAAGGTTATTCTAAGTCCGTTCGTATCTCCTGAATTTCGCCCTCCTATTTTGAAACCAAACCTAAATAGAAAAAAAATATATAATAATATAATTTATTAAATCACATCTAATATAATATATAATAGCTGTAAATTGTAAATTTGATCTGGCCTATCCATGTCCTATCGAATTCGGGTTTAAATCTAAAAAAAATAGTTTATTAAATGAGGAGGTTTAGGAGTAGATTTATAAATCGTTAACCATTCAGGGTTGGGCTTGGATTTGTTTCCGATGCTAAAAATATTTCATTTTATTTATATTTAAATCCTCTTCCATATAATGATAACATACCGAAAGCTGCTCTTTTAAGAAATATATCCACGGTTTCATATATGATTGATTTTATAGGTTTCACGAATCTACTTTGTAATTTGTGAGTCATTATGGTAAGTTATAATAATTCAGCTATTTTTTTTTGTGGGGACCCAGCGAGAGGGGAGAGACGAAAGAGATTTATCAATATAGAACTAATATAAAAATTATTATGTTTTGTGCATTTCGTTGTTTCATATGAGATATAATAATTTATCTATTTCTTTAATGGGGGTTCAGAGAGAAGGAGAGAAAGATCATAGCAATATAGAAATAATATAATAATTAATGTTTATTTTCTCTTTGTTTCATTCTTGGACGAGATATAATAATTCATCTATTTCTTTTATAGAGGGCATAACCCCCATAAAAATTTGTCAATGGGTATGAGAACCCCGCTGCCCACATGAAGTCGACCCCTTGGCAGCAAGATTTTATTATGATTTTGATTTGAGATTGGTTTATAATTTTAGTAATAGTAATCTTGCCACTTTTTTCAATTAATATAAGTTTCTCTATATTTAAGCTTTTTAATGATATTATTATAACATATGTTTATGCAAAAGAATTCCGAATCAATTCTCATCAAAATAAGCGTAATTTTTTTTCTATCAACACATCAAGGAAAAACAAAATTCCTGATTCACCCATCATTAAATAAAGGAAAAAATGTCTAATTCACTCGTCATTCTTGTTCCCAAAATAAATTTTTTTCTTATACCCAATATTTTTGGTGAAAAGAAGTAAGATTTTGGACTTAAATTGTTAAACCACTTGAAAAGGAATAAAATATTTAAAAAATATGAACCTGAATTCTGGCTTCAGTCAACCCAGAATTCTTAGCGATATTTTCCCTCACATGCGAATCTGGATAATGAGTTTGCTCGAAAATATTTTCTAGCGCATCGATTTGTTGGCAATTGAACGTTGTCCTATTCCTTTTATTGCATTTCATCTTGGCCTTTTTATTGTTTTGGAAATCTTTCACAAAATTTTTGGTGTTGCTGTTGGCATCTTTTATTAAGGAGTTTATAAAATATTTGTTAAAATATATTTTTTTAAAACATTTTATTAATAAACTGGCATTATAAAAAAAATTTTTAATATAATTGTTATGTAGTTTTTATTAGTGATCTGTATCGAGCCTAATCTTTTAAGCCCGGCCCGAAATTTAAAAAAAAAATTTGTCCTGCCTGGCCCGATCCTGAAAGAGATATTTTTTTTATTTGTCCCGAAAAGCCCCACTCGAAATAAAAATTTGTTCGCCCGGTAAGCCCCGAATTTATTTAAGTATAGAAAAATGTAATTTTATTTTTGATTGTAAAAAAAAAATATTCTACAAATAAAAATATAATGGGGCCTTGTTTTTTGCGAGAATTTTAAAATATATCAAATATATAGTTTCTACGCAATTTTCAATAATCTTTGAATTTCAAAATTTATATGCACGGACTATCGACTTATTTATAATATAAAATAGAATGATCAACAAAGCAATATTACATAAGGCAAAAAAGTTTTATCCATTTATAATCCATTGTAAATTGACTGACAGGCATATTATTTAATCCTGCAATTCTCATACTACACATTATACATAAATAGCAAACTATTCTGGTTTTTAATTGACCATTTTTATTTTTATGGGATATTATACAAGTCTAAGGCATGGGCACAATATTTAATAGAATTATAGTAATATACAATACGTTATATTAATCAGAGACCTGCAGAGATATTATATACACGACGGCCTGGATTTTTTTCAAAAATTTTTTCGACACGGCCTGCCCTGGTTTATATTTTCAGGCCCGGTCTGGGTCGAACAGATTTTTTATAAAAAAAACTTCAGGCCTGGCTCGGATTTTTTTAAAATATATTATATTTATTTTTAAATTTTATTATACAACCCGGCCCGGGTATTTAAAAAAAAAATTTAGGCCCGGCCTATTCGCCCTTTGTCAAATATAAATAAATAATTTTATAAATAAAACCACTATTGCATTCGCGATAATACATTCGCTGTAATATTTTTTCTAGCGGTAGGTAATACATTTAGCGATAATAGATTTAATACGATAAAAGGTATTATAAAAACAAATTTTTTTACCTAATCATATTTTACATGGAGGAAGGCGGGGTATTAACCCCAAACCCCCCTTGTCTACGCCACTTGAAACCATATGTTTAATTTATATTACAAAAATAATCCTTATAGGAATCGTAATTTTAAAAGTAATTATTTTAACCTTAAAAAAATATTTTTATCCATAAAAAATCGATTAAATTAAAAAAAAAATTAAATTAAAATTTTACCAATAAAATAATCTTTATGAATGTTGACTTTATGAGACATTTGGCGAGTATGATCGTCTGCCCTTTTCGGTTTAGTTAATTGAAAGGTGTCACTTATACAATTCGTTTGATCGTTGGAAGATGTTATGTTTAAGTTCAAATTGAGATTAAAATTAAGATTTCTCTCTCTTTGGAAAAATTGATCAAACCCATTCCAAGAGTCATGGTCGAACTTATTATCAGGGTTCCTTGAAGGAGTTGATGGGAAATCTATCTTTTTTTCAGGCGCGATTCTCGAATGATGGTATTGAGTGGCCTCTTTTATATTTGGCTCGGCCGTAATGAATCGACTATCTCTGTTAATCGCTTGATTATAATCGTACTGGTGTTGTACATTTTGTGTCATTGGCGTAAGGGTAGACCTCTGTGTTGTATGTATGGAGAAAGGGAGGAATTTTCTGATAATACTGGTAGTTAGCCGAATTTTCGTTTATCAAAGTTTTATATTTAGAAGTGCATTCATGACATCGGTGATTTTGGGAATTAGTATGAGACGTGAACCAAACGGAATTAGCTTCCTGACACTCTTTCGATCTTTCGTAGAGGGCGAAATAGCAATTATAACAATATTTGTTATTATCATGATAAGCATTGAACATCTTTTGATATTATCTCATTCATACAACATTTTTTTTCTATGGTATATTTTTTTTGTTAGTTTTAAAATCGGGTTCAATATATTTAAATAAGAATCTATTTTTTTTTTTTGAGTTTTGAGTATATACAATTTTTTTTTTGTAATTAAATTTTTTCGAAGATTATTAAGATTATGAATTAATCTCCTAAAAAATAATCTAGTTTAAGTTCATCCAAATGATTTGAAATAATATTATATCATTAAAAAATGTCAATCAAATATATAAATCAAGTGCCTACAACTTAGAAACAATGTTTCTGCATTGCATAATATTGTAAGTTTGTTTTTTTAAAACTACAGTGTAATATTTATACTAAAATAGGTTTTTTTTTCTAAAGCCTTTTAAACTAAATACTTTGTGAAAAACTTTAAAAATAATAATTTATATTTCCATATTTAAACAAAACGAAATTTTTTTTTTCTTCTTCTAAAAACTACTTAAATTAGCTAAGGCACACACATGGTTTTTTTTAAAAAAAAACCGGAAGCGTTATTTTGAAAAAAATAATATTCAAAGACTTAATGTTAATGTGGTTTATTAAATGTATATTAAAGAATGTGGCAAAATCAATTAGCTTATAATTATGTACTCTAAAGGATTAAGGACTCTCTCAGTAAATTAAAATGAATTGCCGCCGTTTTTAAAAATGTAAGTGATTGTATATTAATTTATATTTTTCAAATATACTTATTTTTAGTTAGATTTATAATAATTATCTACAATCATCATGTGGCTAATTTTTGAAAGATTTATTTAGTATTTAGAAGAACCAATGGTGTATCTAAGATATATTCCGGGGATGACGGGTGGATTGTGCCATTTTCCCTGAACCATTATTAGTCCATCCTTAAGCCGAGTTCAGCCTATAAATAAAATTTTGATTAGGTATTTTTGTTCAAAATATTTCTTATTTTACCCTGGTTATTTTTAATTTTGTTTTTTAAAAGGTGTAATTTTTATCATCATCTCGGCGAAGTTGGCCGAACTATTGAAGATTCTAGTATATATTTCGTGCTTTATTAATGCCTATGAGTCTTTAAAAATTATTAGCAACAAAATGTTGGCCAACCCTACGACTAAAATTATTATTCTTAATATTTTATCAATTCTTTGGCAGATTACCTTGGCCTGGGTCATCAAATTTTTTTTTAATGGGTTGGGCTTGGTCCTAAAATTATTAGATTTAAACTTAGCTTACTTAAAAATTTGCTAACTGAAAGAAATATTGCCATTTTTTTTCTTTTAATATATAAATTTCAGTTGCCAAAATACCCTTAAATATTGTTTATTTTTATTGAATTTAAATAAATTAAATTTTTGGATATGGGGTTTCTGTCGGACTTGGGAATTTTTCTTAGTATTAGATATGGGCCGAGCCGGGTCTGGCCTAAAATTTTTTTTACTGTGGATCTAGGCCGGGGTCTATAAATAAATAAATTGCCAAAATTGACATCATACCAGATTGGGAAAAAATGCTTGATTAGAAATTATTGATTCATCAATTAGTTTTACTAGTCATTAAATAGAAACAATGTTATAAGCGAATAAAAACTAAACGTGTCGCTTTAGGCTGCGTCTTAATATCCGATTTTGATCGCGATTCAAAAATCATTTATACATCTAAATACATTAAGACGCGTCTTTTTTCACCGAATCAAAAATATTTTTGAATTTAATGATTCCTAGATATTATTTCTCTTCTTCTATTAATTTAATAGACATCGGAGTAAAATAATTAAAATCTTATATTTTGAATCGAGTTTATATTTTCAAAAATTTGATTGTTTTTATGCAATATAATATATCGTATAATTTAAAAAAATATATGTTAATTAAAAAGATTAGAGAATATCTGCATAAATAAGTAATTTTACTAGAATTTATTAGTTTAAATTTAATAGAACGTCAGTCACGACATATAGAGGAGACAGGGGTAAAGCGATTAAAGTGGTAGCAATGTTAACGTGAATAATTTTTTAACCCTTGAGCTTAATAAATTTGGTGTGACGATGTATTTTTGTATCTAATTTTTTACCTATGCTTATCTTTTGGAAAACTTACCCAGTTTGAATTACCAAAAATAGGTTTTTATCCAAAAATTATAAAAATCATTCTCTAGTTTTTTTTTGCTTTTAGCAAAATGCATTAAGGCTCAGAATTTAAAAAAAGCCATAGCTATAGGATGTGTATATCTTTACAAGAAGTCACGCACTAACGATTTACGCAATATATATGGTAAAACGGCTAAAATATTCCGTCTGATTTAAGCTGTAAAAAGATAATTTAAATATTGGAATAAAATTTTATGAATAGTCGCAAGGGAAGAATAATGTGTACGATGTGCCTAAAATGGGCACATTTAAAATATACTATTTTTGATATTTCACATTCCAGTATTGCATTGATTAGTTTTTACCAAAGTGATGAATAGATGTCAAAATTGCTATATTTTGTTCAATTAAACTATGTTCATTTTTATTTTAACCACGCTATCCTGATGCTTAGCCATTTTACCCTGGCTATGGGATAAAATAAAAAAAATGGCACACTACACATAATTAATCACAGCTCCTATAGAGAGCTATACTTTTTTTAATTTTTTTGATGAGGCATTTGACTACATATAAATATATAAATTGTTTTGTTTTGTTCACGTTTCAAAATATTATTGTTAAAATGTAAAATACCAATCGTTTTACCCCGGTCTCCCCTATAAAACGGCTTCTAAAGCTTATTTATTTTTGGTAAGCAATAATGTCTTTTAAGAAAATATATTGTTCAAAATAATAATGACGATATTAAACACCCTATCCCTTCCCACCAATCAAAATAAGTAAAAAAGGAAATCATATTGCCCAGGTTTCTAAAATTTGATACAGACGAAATATGCTGATTTTGAAAATAAAATCACCCTTACCCCGGTCCTCACTCCATGTATAAATTTCGCTCTATCTATAAATAATCATTTAGAATCAAAACAACTCTTTGTGAAAGTTAATATAATGATACATTTCACTTTTGCTATTATATATTAAAATCATTGCAATAATATATTAGGTAGTCTTTAGTCTCCATTTTTAAAAAAATTTTGAGCCAAAAATCTCTTTTAAAGATCATCAAACTAAAGATATTTTAAAGAAGATTGAATAAAAGAATTTTTAAATGTGTAATTTCATTTTGAAATTTTTTTTAATACATATAAATACAAAAGATAAACCTCTAAAAATTTTTTTACAAAAATGATATGAAATTTTACGTAAAATTTGATCAAATCATTCTTAAAAAAATATCTATTTAGAAAATCTTTGAAGATATATTATTTTAAAAAGCATTTCAAACTATGTTCGTCATCGCCACTATAAAATTTTCGTAAAACTTTCTATCCTTACTTTGATTGATTGAAACTTTTTCAATAGTCAAGTATCGTGAAAATTTAATTCATTGTACATAATATATATATAATTAACTTTTTTCTCTCTCTTTTAACTTCCTTTATTTAAAAATATATTTTCTAAATTATAATTTACAATCGTTTTTAAATATTTTGCTTGTAAACATGTGTTTAACATATTTAGGTGTCGTGCTTAATGTTAATATAAATTAAATATAGTAGAAATCGATTTAAAAATATCTTAATGATTTAAGATTTCCATTCGAGTGCATCAATAAATTTAAAAAATCATAAGCAATATTAAGTAAAGTTATGTCAAATTATAAATTTTTTAAAAACAAGAAAAGAATAAGAAACTTGTTTTTACTATTAAATAAAATACTGTATACACTTGTAACTTAAGCCCGACTAAGAGAGAGAAAATTAAAAACAAGTTAAATTTGGTCTAAATAAAACTATGAGAAGAAAATAATATCACTTTCTCTATGATTATAAATAATGCATATATAGTTCCTTAGAAATTACGATTGTTTAAACATAATCGAATCCTCTTTCCCATTGTTGGTAAACGGATTTTTTTCGGAGCTTGTAGATTTCGCATCTACGCCACACTAATCCTTCCATCATATCTTGGTGGCGATTAAGCTACCATAAATAAGGTGATTCAACATAAATTGACCCACATATTTTTATGTTTTTAATTTCTAAACCGTAATTTAATACACAAAGGCGATAAATAGGGGGGGGGGCTGACCTAAACAGGCTCCATGCTACATACTTTAATTATATTAAAATTCAATTTTATCCTCAAATGAAGTTGCTAAGAATAAGACCAAATTTAATTTACATGATGGGTATGTAGATAGAAGTGGTGAATCCTGTTTGGATTTAACAATGTGCATATTAAACCTTATTAGATTCTATTCCTGATATAAGATGCATTACATAAAATTGAAATTGAGGGAGTGTAATTTCATTCTTAAAATAGCTGATTGATCTTAGTACTAATTTTATTTTCAAAATGTTCTAATAATATTGATTTAAAAAAAAACTCCGTTATATCTTTCTCAGGTACTTGAACTATTCTACCTCGTTTATTTTTCGTTCACTAATCTAATCTTTCAAGGATTAGCATTGTTATTGTTATATTATCTGTGAAATTTATGACCTAATCCCCATACCAACCGATAAGGAACTGTAGTGCTTCCCTTATTAATTAATGAAATTAGGATTTTAACACATTAATCGTCTATTGTGTAACACTCGCCCTAAATATTTTGAAGATAAGGATACTTTTATGTACAAGAGATATGTCTGTACTTACTTAAGAATTCGAATAACTCTTGTTCGACCGATGACCGATCACAACTGATTAAGCCTTCCTTAAATTAAAAGGACGAACAAATTTCTTGTTTATCAGTTGCTCCTTATAGAGTAATGAGCAGTTCTTATGTGTTATTTTTATTCCTCTAATCTAGCAAAAATGTTTATATTCATTATTTATAAATTGTCTAACACCTGATACTAGAGTTTAAGGGTATCCCATATGTTGAAATAAATTTCTAGGTTTTTTATTATCATCTTAATTGTTTTATTTGGTACCACT